CAAGAAACTTGAGTTTTAAGATAAACACTCAAAACCAATAAATAAAACTATAAATTTGACAGATCATAAGCCATGAAAAGACAAAAAAAAGATGGGTTTTAGAATGAAATTTCAACTGTTTACCCTCTTTCTTGTCCAGAAACTCAGATTAAGGTTGAATTAATACATGTATATATATATTTCAAAAAACCCAAGAACATATTAATTTAATACATATTATATAGTGCAATTTGGATAGCMTAACCCCAAAATATATAGTATATATATAAATAAATAACTATAAAAATATAAATCGTAAATATTAAAAATATTTTTTCACAGTATATATAATATAAATACAATTAAGTCAAAAACTATTCAATATTGAACTCATTTCGAAGGTATTAACGAGACGATTATAATGGTGTAACTTGTTAAAATAAAAATGTATTTTTTAAACATGTTTTAATTGATATACGATTATATATGTTAATTTGATAAAGGTTTAAAATGAAACATTTAAAAGTAAAGGACATAAAGTAAATTAATTAATTAATTATAGGGGTATAAAATGTAAATTTAAAATTATAATTTAAAAAAAATTGTGAGAAGGTGAGTGTATGTGAGAGGATGAGTGTATGTGAGGGAGAAAAAGGGGTATAAAGGGTATTTTGATCATTTAAAATTTTAAGACTTTAAGATTTTTGCTAAATTTGCTTAATAAGATAGTATATATATATATATATATAGAGGGATGTTATTCTACAACCTTTGCCATTCCTACACCCTATACAACTCTCATCTCAACCATTCAATTTTTAATCAATTAACTGTTTCCTAATATAAAGTATTAATCATAATTAATAAACTCTATTCATATTCCATAAATATTCAAATCATAATAAATGAACTCCAATCATTTCTATAAATATCTCAATTAATTGGGTTGCAAAGGTTGTACAAATGCACAAGGTTGTAAAAGAAATATACCCTATATATATATATATATATGAAGTGTGTGTATATATATATATATATATGGATCATGATGTTGGTAGTATAATATTGATCTTTTCCACCATTTTAGCCTGCAGAATATATATATACACACACACAATTACTTTCTCATGGTCTGTGGCTGGATCATGATATTGGTTGTATACCAAATTCTTTAAATCTTTTTAACTTGTAAACATTCAAATGGGTAAAGAACAGTTTTATCAAACCCAAAAGGCCAAAAGATGAAGGAGGCGTGTAAATTCAGAAAATTAATAGGCCCTGTCGTTTACTTTTCACGTGATCTGGAGTTGCATGTGTGGTTTTTGTCATAAATTTTTTGATGTCCTGTGTAAAAATAATAAAAAAATGTCTTTAAGCCTATTTTTTTAAACCAATGAAACAAGGAAACATGCTATTTTTTTAAAGAGTTTAGAACATATTCAAGATAAGTGTCTCATCCCCATGGGGGGACATAAAAACCAAAACCCCGAATACAAAATATAGAATGATGAAAAAATAAATTCTGGATTAAGATCGTGCTTCATTCTTTTCCAGTTTTCCCTTTTTCCAAATTGAAATTAGCAAAATAGAAACTTTATTTCAATATATGGGACTTAACAGACAAGGAAAACTATAATTGGTTTTTAACTAAAATAGTAAATTACATCCAAATTACTGTTATAGTAAGCAAAAAGTAAAACTAAAAAAATTATAGGTCTAATGACTAAAGGCTAAGGGTCTATTTGTTAACAGTTTAATAAGTTTAATGGAACTAACAGTCTATTTGCTCAACTATGCATGATTGTTTCGTAATGACTTAATGATATAGAAAGTGACATATACAGTAAGCTTCTAGGGGGAGCTTTATATAGAAAGTCAAGTTTTTTTTTTCCCAAACATGTCCCTTCCAACTAAAAAAACGCTCATTACATATGCGAAAAAACTTTCCCAAACAAAAACTTTTCCAACTTATACAAACAGATTAATTCATACAAACAAATTTATCCATATATAACTTGATAAAAAACCAATCAAACACCTCCTAAATCTAATGTGGTAATACAAACCTCAAAGTAAGCAAAAATCAAAAGAACAATAATAAAGTATAAAATTCATAATCTATGTTACTATGCATTGCAAAGAACAAGTGTTGGATAATTAATACAATATCACAATATGTTGTTAATGTTGTGCAATGTACTTCAGCTATCGTTGATACATTGATGTGCCCATGTGCATTGAAAATTTCAATTCCTAGACATTTCAATATGCAAGCGGAAGACTCATTATCAAAATGACAAAAGCCCCTTAGCCTTAGCCTAGTAGGTCGGTAACCCACACGACCACATGACTCAACTTTATAATAATCTGTTAGAAATTTAGATTTTTTTTTTGCAAAATGATCTAAAGATTCATAAATGATAATATGACTCACCCAGCAACTCGGTAAGTCCATCCAACAGTAGAAATCAGTCATTCGAGATTTCTATCTTTGATTTCTTGAATCTAATTTCATGACCGTTAATCGTCTGTAAAGAGAACTACATGCCTTGAAATTTGAAATAGTCGAACTTTGAAAAACAATAGAAATTCGATTGAGTTGTTGGAATGATGTCGTTAACTGATTCACTATGTGCATTCAATATTCATCACTACTAGGCCTTGGGTTTGTTTTTATATTTAAAGCTCAGTTGTCTAATTCTCAAATTATTAAACCCAAAAATAGTAGTAGATGACAACTTGATGCCTCTTTAGACTTTGATGCTCTGGTTTTTTATGTGTGTTGTGTGTGTGAGAGAGAGATATAGTTGTTGGACTGACACCACCCATCTCCTTCTTATTTGCCTTCATTTTCCTTCACCTCCCACCATCGTGACCTCCGAACTGGCACCACAACTAGTAACCACCACCGTGACCTCCGACCTGGCACCACTACAGCGATGAACACTATCTATCTCCAACCACCACTTCATTTTCCCTCCATTTTTCTCCAGCCACCACTTCGTTTTCCCTCCTTTTTTCTCCAGCCACCACTTCATTTTCCTTCCATTTTTACTGTACTCCATCACCATCAGCACCATCCATCACCATTCTGATGTATACCCACCTCTCCATTTCTTCTTCCCCACGAGTCCAAGGTCCTTCATTTTCTATGAGAAAAGTGGTGGATCTGATCCAAAATGGTGGCTGTATCAAGTTGGTTTTATGTGAATCTAGTAACTTTTCCACCATTTTCCTACCTTTAGAAGACGTATTGTATTTGATTTTGAAAACAAAAAAAGAAGAAAGTAATTGAGTTATTCCTTGAATAGCTAATTTTCATTCCTTAATTTTTCCTCAATAAAGTAGTTGCATTGATGATATAGATTAGATGGCGAGGACATGAAAGAGGGGAGGGAAGGAGATGGTTAGGGGGAGCGTCAAAAGTTGACTTGTCATCATTTAAAAGATTTTTTTATAAGATTTTTAATTAATAGGTAATTTGACACATTTATCCCCGAGTTAACGGATCAGTTTTAACGATGTTACTGACAGGAACTCGACTTGTAACAAAATACAAACCACAGGGACCCTCAGTATACTTATTTCAAAAGATGGACCATATCCAGATTCTGACCTGACCAGAGGAACTAACAATGTAATTTACTCTACCGAAAAATAAGGTAAATTAGTAAAAAGACCAAATATCCCTAATTTAGCAGACTATTTTGAAGGAGTTAGTATGAGGAACAGAAAAAGAAACAAAGTACAAACCATTAGAGACGAAAAAATAAGTTTTTTAAACCATAGGGACGAAAATCGTTATTAATATCAAATCACAGGGACGAAAATCGTAGTTTACTCGAAGATTTATTCCAATAATAGAAATGAATCACAACGCCTCCCTCAGGTATAAGAGCTAGGCCAAATTAGCCCTTCAATTTGCATTTCACTCGTGAACAACCATTGAAATCCCCAAATCCCGCCCTATTTCTTAAACCCACACTCGCAGCTCGCACTCCACTCCCACTCACGGCTCACTCCCTCCCTCTTGCTCTTGCTCTCGCTCTCGCTCTCGCCTCGCTCACTCACAGAACTCACAACAGAAATCGATTTATTTCACGATTCACGAATCGTAATCGCAATTGCAATCGGCCTTGACAGTTGACAGTTGACAGTTGACACAATCGGCTCTCGCTTTCTGCCTCTGTCGTCTGCCTCTCACTGTCGTCGCCCGTCTGCCTCTCTCTTGTGAGTTATGACTTGTGAGTTAGGGACTTAGGGTTATTACTTATTTACTTTACTTATTTTATTTTTTAAGTTTCTAATTTGATTGCAAA